AGAATGTATCGCTACGATAAATGCTGCGTTACATTTTATCGTCATTAAATATTCTCCATCACTCTATTATTTTTTTTACACGAAATTTTCGGCTAATAAATTCACAACGTAATTAATAGTAAATTCGATTGGATGCACTAATGCATATTAAAGCCATTATACTGATTTCATCCGTGCAAAAGTAAAATGCAAATATTTCGAATTATAAAATATGGATTTTATTTAACAGTACAGTAAAATGTATTAGGATTTCATTTAATCCATTCTTATATTTATATTAAACACATTTTTTTACGTCAATTTGCGGCTTTGTACAATGGCTTTAATGTGGGTGCATCCAATCGAATTCGCTATGCGAAATGTCAAACGAAAGAGTATATTCACACAAACTTGCATAGCTGCATAAACATATTCATAAAGAAAACCCAATCACATTTTATGTGGATCTTTATAAGAGAAATGCGATTAGATAATTTTCTTTATGCATACGTTTATGCAACTGCAAGTTTATATGGATGTACACTAAAATCACACACAAAATAATGTAAGTTTACATAATCATAGCATAAGGCTGTTGGACTAATGAGTATCTTATGTAAATCAACGTGGCGTCTTTATGTCGAATGCTATTAATCCAGAGGCTGGATTAAGTTATTCTTATCCAACTTATGTCATTTTGTGTGTGGCTTTAACTACTGTCATTTAAAAAAAAAGAGTTGATGTATTAACCGTATTCCTTATGAAATGAAATACCATATTGCTACTTTCACTTGATAATCAAATTGTTTTCAATTCAATAAATTGTCTATACACCGATAATAATTAAAATAAACGATAGATTTGTAAGTATAGCCATTACAGGATGCTTTGACACTTAGGCTATTGATACATTATTGTGTACGAATACCAAAATTATATTAAACTGCAATATTCCTTCAGCTGTATATCTCACCGAAAAAGAAACAGATCCATATATTATATAATAGAAATACTATGATATAGATTTTATTGTATGTTAGGCTTAAATAAATAACATTGTGAGAAGCAATTGTACGTGGTTTTTCTTGTCGCAATAATAAAAATTGTGATATTTTTACACATTTGCGTCATAGTTGCAAACGCAAGTACAAAATGAAAAATTATTTTATAATGATCAATATTAATCCACAACGTGCAAAATATAATATGTTAATATGATATATATATATAAATCTCTACTCATGCTGTTGTAAATCAGTATGATTCTTGCAAGCATTATTTACTACATACAAAGATCTACATCAACATACAAAAATCTACATAAAAAATGATCATACTGATTTTAAAGATATATTGATTTCCATGAGAAAAAACCATCACTCATACCCTAAATTGTACTCATCAATACCATCACCAATCATATTTCACATCATGATCTGTAACAAAAAAGAACACTATCGATTAAACTTAAAAAAGATCTACGAAAAGACAACTATTTGATGACGTGTTTATGAATATTTATGTATGTTTATACATATTTATATATATTAAGAATTAAACATATGAACAATTTTTTACCGGGTTAAAGCTGCGTTTTGCTCTTGTTTGAAAATAATCTTTTCCAAAGTTGAATTATTGACATGTAAAATGACTCCTGCACTAAAATAAAAATGTAGGAACAAACTAATATGTGTGTACAAAAAAAGAAAAATTTTACTTTATTTAAAAAAAAATTTTGATTAGAATATTAAATCATAAAAATATAATAGAAAACAAAAAAAACAGATGATACATCGATAAAAACCAAGCAAGAAGCATGGAAAAAAATTGTAACTTTCAATGCTAGCACTCACATTAATTAATAACAATTTAAAATAAAATTATGTAGTAGAAAGCCATCGATATTGACATACCACTGATCTTGTTTTTATTAGTATTAATAAAGTTCAATAGTTTTATATATATATAGTTTTTGAGAAATTAAAGATCTAAATCTTTAGGAAACCTATGTCACTATTTGTGACTTTCCTAATCTTATTTTTCGTCAATTCATGATCCATTGTATTATTGTGCTTCCACAATTTGCCTATTGGAGATGTAATTATATAATGCAATTGTACATAAGCCATAGATAAACAGCTACAACGTTTATAGGTAAAATTAAAGCAGTGACAAAGAGAAAAATTAGCAAAAGAACATCAACATCAAATGGCAACTGGAGGAGAAGAAGCGATTCCAGATGCTTAAATAGATCCCATAATCGAAATTGTAAATCCTCGTTTAATATATAAAATTTCAAATAACTCTGACGATGTTAACAAACGTAAGAATATGTGTGTATGTATGTATGACGTGCGTACGCGCATAAAAATTACTTATCAAAATGTAAGGAACACTTTCAAAACATTTGAAATTGCATAATCTACAGATCATCGCAACTCGGTAAAAATCAGCACAGACAGAAAAGTGCTCAGTTTTCGAAAACTTTTATCTTTACAGTTCTATTGTATATCTTATTAAAGATTACATTATTATATTTCTTAAAATAACGTACATTCAACAGCGCAACTTGATAAAAATTTTTTTCTTAAAAAGTTTAACTTTTATAAAAAAATATAAATAAGCTTTATCTCAAAATACTTTTTTATAGAAGTACTAGCTTTTTGTAAAATTATTAAATTCTTTAGACTTTAAAAATTTTTTCTTGTTCTATTACAGCTAACAATATAAAAGTGGAAATACAAGATGTATCAGAAAATATTGCAGATAAAACACATTTAGAAGAAAAACCCAAGAAAAAAATGAATGGTATTATATAATTTTGTTTTATATTTCTACTTATTATCAATGTGATAATTAATTTTTCTGCCTATAATTAGATCAAATCGAACTTATTGAAAATTCGTTAATATCGACTGTCCTTATCAACATCTTTGAATTAACCAATAAGAAAATATGCGGGAATTTTTAAACTACTCTCTATTTTATCATATTTAAACATTGTATGCTTTCTATTTCTTTCAACAATGACTACATC